GGGGGGGGGGGGGGGGGGGTCGGAAGTGGGTTTCGTCTTTGTATAAAGCCTGGCCCTGGGTCTGTCTATCTTTCAAATGGCCTACCATGGTGGGCTACAACTGCCCGCTGTGTGCCTGGAGGTCTGTTTAAGCCCTTATTAGTGATTACATTCCCAACTTTGGACCCAACCTCCACCCCAAAACTTTGGATAGGTAACATCTGACAAATGGTGGTACACTCAAAATACATTCTGAACATTTGTTGATGACCAGCAGGGACAGGATTACTCTGATAAACCAACATATTGTAGCTAACGGATTAATGGAGAACTGATTCTCCCTTGTTTTTTTAATGAAACAAAAGACAACCTCAGCAGGTTTTTACTCCTTTCAAAACTGAAAAATAGATTGGTGTTGAGCTTCAGAGAACAACTTGTAATAAATGAAAGGGTGACTGTCTCTGCAAATAGACAACAAATCCTATTGAGGCCAATAGAACAGCTTTAGCAGGACCAGAAGGGAACAGCTGTCCTCTTCGCCTTGAACGAGCCAGCGTACTCGGTTGAAAGCTGCCTTACATTGACTCTATTGAGACACAGCCCCACATAAAGCCCCGCTGGCAAGAAACTGTTGACGTCTGCTGTATGCGCGTGTTAATTTATGCAGGATTATGCTAATTGGCAGGAGCCGTTGTAAACCTCTCACACACAGGAATGTCTCTGAATGCCTAACGGTAGCCTGTGGAAAGGCATGAGCGCTATACTATTTCTGTCCTCCCTTACTCACTGCTTTTATTTACTGAACATTCTGACTCAATACACTCTCCTTATCCTAGAGGGATGAATCAGTAATCTTCACAAAGTTCAGTGGGATTTACAAGAATACGGCCTGTATAAATGCGCCTTAGATTTAAGTGATCCAACTGATCCGCAAGGAGGGAAAATACCAAACGATCAATTCTGAGATGTAGAAAAACAAAACTTTATTTGAATCCCATGTGATCCCTATTTGCCACAAACATTGCACAGTATGAAAAGAAATCACATCATTGGGCATCATGTCACATTAACTATACACATGGTCCTATTATACATGAAAATGCTTTTTTGGTGATTTCATAAATGCTGTCTTTGTCAGGTTTGTAAAACAGCAAATGCAGAAAAGACATCTGTAGTGTTTAATTTTCCAGTCCACTGGCCGTCGTTTTCGCTGAGTGATGGGATGAAGGCTCCGACTAAGAACCTGCTACATTGGTCATCTGAAATATCCCTTGGTGGGAGGAAAAAAAAAAAAAAAAGAGTAAAAAAAAAAAGCATAGAGGTTTTTTCTTAAAAATAGCTAAAAGTAAATTACAAAATCAAAACTATACTTGTACTCATGAAAACACATAACATTACTACAGTAGTGAATAAGTTTGTCATAGATGCCAAGAGCAAAGTATGTTTAAGACACTGAGATGACCTTCCTCTGCCTTTAGTGTGCAAACAAACGAGGCAGACTAATCATGAACTGATCTCTGAAATGTAAAACAGTAAACGCGTGGATGCAACCAATCCGTTCGATTGGTCAGTGGAGGAGGGGCTGACTCTAGCTCTTGCTCCGTTCTCTACAATGATAAACAGTATAATGGAAAGACATAAGACAGGCAGCATTTCTCTGATAACATTTTTGGTCCCCGTGTGCAAATAAGATACACGTGTAGATACATACGCATGTACGTGAAATGAATAAACAACTTACAGCCAAGGCACCTCGATAGTTTTTTTTTTTCATAAAAAAACATCCTCATTAATTTGATTGGTATACCAAAAATAGAAATGATCAGGCTTTCATGTGGATTTGTTCTCTGTTGCGTGCAGACAAGTCACTGAACTCAGGGGAGATCCATAGTTGAGACACAAAGTCAGTCTCTATTCCCTCCTCTTCTTCTTCTGTCACTTTCTCCCTTTAGGAGACCAGCTGTTTGGCTTGCAGCTCCATCTCTGCAGCCCGTTTGAGGGCCACGTCCACCAGGAGCTGGAAGCCGCTGAAGTCTTGTGTGAGGTCTGGGGG